ATATACTTCCAGGTTCACTCAGTCAGAAACATTCCTGAGCAAAAAGACTATTTGACCACTGCAGCCTTGGACTTGAGCTGCAGGACTTCAAATCTGAGACTTGCTCTGACAGACTTGACTTGGATTTTTTCTGTCTGTGTAATGGAAGAAGGGCATCACAGTGAGATGGGAGCCGTCACTGGTCAGAGGGGTGAACTTCTGAAGCCATCTGATGCTGTGGGAACATCTGCTTTCTCTGTTCTGACAAGCTTCTTTATTTAGCAGGATGTACCAGTGAAGGGCACATAGGACAGACCATGGGAATGTGAAGTCCAGTAAAACTAGAAGCTGGCTGCTCTGTCTCTAGCGGAGTCCTCCCACAACCAGTCTGTTGATTCACATTATTCAGACAGACGGGAGAGCAGAGATTTTAAATGTCTGCCCTTTCACATGATGTTGCTCTGCGCTTCCAAAAGGCCCGTCACTCCTCCATGCTGTGTCAGTTAACGTTAAGATTATGAATATAAACAGAGCTAGCCAGAATACATATTTTTATTAGGCAGAGAAAATACTGTTCAGAAGAAGAGAAACACCAAAAATAAATTTCTGTCATACATTGAATCCTCTCATACGGCGTAGGAAGGTCACTAGTACATCAAAGAGAAACAAACATTGCCAGTCTACGCAATGATGACCTCCGTGACAACCCAGTCACCAGAATAAAATGTTGTCATTATACATTTCTGCAAACCAAGGATATGCTACAACTGTATGATTCATGTATATGACGTAGTTGAGATAAGATGTGTATGAGCTCTGTTTCTCATCAGGAGGGGAGGGGAGGGGATGGTGGATAGTGTGACACCTGAGTGAGACAGCTGGCGAGCAGCAGACCACTGTTTGAGACTAGCATACAACAAAAGCAGGTATTTTTTGTCAGAACATTTCCAGCTTCCTTTTTTAATGATAGGTTGGCACATTTCCAGCTGTGTTTGTAGTGATTAAAGTGGGTATTTTTTAACCACAGGTCGGGGCTTGTCCAGCCATGTCTGTAGCAACAAAACTGGATATTTTTAACAAGAGTTAGGAACATTTCTTGCTGTGTTTGTAGTGACAAAATTGGGTATTTTTAATGACATGTCGGGACATACTGACAAAGACCGATATTTTTTTAACAACAGGTTGGGACATTTCCAGCCCTGTTCTTAGCAACAAAAAAAAGCAGGTAGTTTTTAACAAGTTGGGACATGTCCAGCCGTGCAGTGACAAAACCTGGTATTTTTTAATGAGAGTTTGGGGCATTTTCAGCTGGGTTTGTAGCAACAAAATTGGGTATTTTTTAACAACAGGGCATGTCCAGACGTGTTTGTAGCAACAAAAACGGCTATTTTTTTTTACCACAGCTCGGGGCTTGTCCAGCTGTGTTTGCAGTGACACAAGTGAGTACTTCTAAATGATAGTTCAGAACATTTCCAGCCATGTTTGTAATGACAAGAGTGGGTCCTTTTTAACAAGAATCTGGGACGTGTTTATAGCGACAAAAACAGATAATTTTTAGCAACAGGTCAGGCCATTACCAGCTCTTTTTGTAGAAACCAAATGGTTGTTTTAAGCTTTGTAGTCATGTATTTTAATGATGTTTTCCTAACACTAACAAAGTGGTTTTGTGTGTAAAGTTCATGATAACCACAGCATTGTCTAAACATGAAACTGAAAATTGAAACGTTCATGTTTTAACATATTCGCTACATATGAAATGTACAAATGTAACATATTCATGGTTTGTAGAAATGTACTGTGTCAAAATTTGTTCTGGCGACTCGGTTGTCCATGAAGAGGTTTGATGGATATTGTAGCACAGTCAAAAGCACGGCACGGCTCAGGTGTTGTTAAAGCACAGCATGATCTGAGGCAGTTCTTGCTTCTCCAAACTATGAAAACACTGAGAGACGAGAGAGGCAGGTGACACTGTAGTGGGGAGTTCTTCTCTTGGGACAAACATGAGGCGTCAAAGTTAACATCAGCCAAAAAAAGGTGGTAAATAAACAAAGAAGACCGGTCTTCTGAATAGAGAGGTTGATGAGTTTGAAGAGTGGCCTTGGCACAGAGCACAGCCTCAGCTGAGTGATGAAAATCTCCTGAAAGAGGCAGAGAGGGAAGGCAGCTGGGGTCGGCTTTTGGCAGCTTGTTCAGACCGGAGCTCGGCGGACCAGTTCGGGGGGAAGATAGGACGAATTCCACTTTTTCCCCATGTGAAACACAAGCCCAAAACAAGGCATGAAAAACCCTGCTTCGACTCCTGACGCACGCATACACACGTAAACACACACATACAGCCCCTTCAGACACAATCAAACTAGTACACAAACATGCAGACTTATACAAAGGCAGAACTTTACAAAGTCATGCAGATGGAATGTTTTTGATATTTCTGTAGCTGAGTCAAATATGTTTTGCTGGCTGGCCTGACGTCTATTTTTATCAGGAGGGATTTATAGGGAACTACTGTAATTGAGTCTAGGCTGTCATGACAGACTGGAAATGTGCTCCTGGAAAACTTCACCACATCAGTCTTTTGATGGGGAAAAAAAGAGCAAAGGGGCTTTACAAAGCTGAATATAAGTACATCAGAAAAGGGGGTGGTTTCCTCAGATCTCTTTTTAAAATTCTAGATGAGAACCCGTCCTTGTCTCTAAAAGAGGTAGCCTGATCCAAACCTAATTACACAGAAAACTTCTCAAATGTTCCTCTTACACACTAGGAAAGGGGATCCTGAGTACCGACACTTCATAGTTAAGTCATGTTGATTCTGAAAGGAATAGTTTGACATTTTGGGAAAGAAACATTTTCACATTCTTGACGAGATTAGGTTGAGAAGATTGATAACTCTCTCATGTCTGCACAGTAAATATGAAGCTGTAGCTGGTTAGCTTAGCTTAGCACTAAGACTGGAAACAGGGAGAAACAGCTAGCCTGGCTCAGTTCAAATGTCAGTCAAACAAGGTTTAATGGTTTAATTCATACGTCATCATCATCACTGAAATGGAAAAGATGCCAAGTTGCGGTGTTACGCGGGTTTATTTAATAGACTATTTCTCAGCCAGGTGCAGACTACTTTCTACGTTTGCATTGTACATTTCTACAAACCACAGATATGTTACATTTGTAAGTTATCATGTCGTGGATACGATGAAACTTTACATTTCAACAATGCTGTGATTAAAGTGTGGATATGTTTCGGCACAAAAACCACTCGGTGATGGTTAGAAAAAGCTCATGTTTTGCCACTTTTTGTGGCACTGTCTTCACAAGAAACACATAAATGTCTTGGTAAGAAAATAGCCGCTGTTTATCATACTATTCCTGGTGGAAATACAGCGATGGTTTGCTAAAAAACACCCACATTTGAAGACTAAACAGCCGCTGAAAAAAACACCAGTGTCTCGCTAAAACACAACCAGGTTTGTTGTGTGGTGGTGTCAAACAGTGTTCTGCAGCTTTGCAGTCGTCTCGCCTAGGTGACACGCCATCCACCATCCCCTCTACCTCCTGATGACTACAGCCTGATTTATAATTGGGCGCGAGACACTTTTGGATAGCGTCGATCGGGTTTTTTTGTCACGTTTAGTAAGGGCGTAATCTGCACAGCCAACTTTTTAAAATCAGAGAAATATCCCGTACATGTGTTTTTAATTTATTAATATTCATTGATTGATCTGTTCCCAGTCTGTCTGCTAGTTGCAGATTCCCCTTGCCCATAGATTTTTGTTGTTGGACATAAATTAGTCCATCTACATACTTTTCAGTGTAATATTATGATGGTCAGTTTATTTAAGAGAATTTATCAGCAGTGAGGTAAAAATCTATTTGTGGTTGGAGCAGTGCTAGCACTAACGTTACAGAAAGCAAAAACCTAAATGTATCTTCGTAAACTGATGATCAAAAAAAAATCATTCATCATCATTCATTCATCTTCTAACCGTTTCATCTTCTTGAGGGTCGCGGGGGGGCTGGAGCCTATCCCAGCTGATGATCAAAAAAAAAAAAAAACATAAAAAAAAGTCTATATTTGTAGTTACAGTTATGCCTTGTTTCCACTTGCGTATATATACAGAGATGAGGCATTTGGAAGTCCATTCATTCCCATGGGAATCTCCATGATATTGGATGTTTAAAATTTAAGTGTGCTAGCTTTGCTAACAGGCTGCTAACTAGCTAACAGGCTATTTCCTTCTGTTCAGTTGCCTGTTGATCGTCAAGTGAGTTTGTTTAAATAAAAAGAATTTGTTTATCAAATTTGAACACATTGTGCATCTGAGTAATGTTATTCTGTTACACAGTCAGATCGTCATTGACTCGTTTAACCGCTCATACATCTTTTTAATTAAATAGCCTATATCACAAAAGATGCCACATACCTGGCAGGCCAACATATTCATGTGTTTGTTGCCATACAAAATTGCTCTTGTTTTTGTCCCAGTAATGTTCCAAGCTCATATTCCAAACTACCTGATGGCTAAAAACGGACATAATTAGCTTCTCTCTCATGGCTACAGGTAGTTTCTATCAGGTTTCTATCCATCTGTAAAGAAATGCACTTCCTTGCGTTGGACACTAGAGGCATCATCCGTATATTAATGAATCTGCGGGCACCAGTTACATACGGGAGTGGAAACAAAGCAACAGGCATGAGGTTTTCTGTTGGTTTAATTTTCGGGTTAAGGCGAATATTAGGTGGATAAACAACTTTTTCAGCTATGGTTTTGCTAATTTATCCAAAAAGTGACCCAACAAAAATGTGCATGAAGCACACAACGCTCTGTGTGGCGCAGGATGTAAGGCACCGGACTCCCTCGTATTTACTGCACAGTCATGAGTGTGATATCTTCTCATTTCACTTGGTAAGAACTATCCCAAAATGTTAAACTTTTCCTTTAGGATCATCTTCAGTGATTTACAGTGAACATTTTTTATTTACTTGCTGATTTAAAGTCATTTTCGTTCAGCCAAATCACAAAATATTCCACTAAAGTTCACTTTATTGATTATAATGGTTTTCCCTTTTAAAGATCATCAGCGTACCCAAGCAGAGAAGTTGGTTTTAATATACAATATAATCATAAAGAATGATTAGACTCTCAGAGATCGGATCGGATTCACCCGCTCTGTAAACTAGACTAATTTTAATATAAGATAATCATGGTGAGTGTCTTAATTCTACAAACACAATGATGTAAACTCAAGAACGACGGTGGCCGATGCTCATCCATGTTCTGGCAGTGTGTGAGAGACACTGTGATCGGACTCGTCCAGACACAAACGGCACTGCGCCACATTGCTGCAACCGGTCGAGACTCGAGGGAGTGGTTGCCGCCGTCGAGTTGGGCTCACAGGTTCTCGTTGGTGTCGTGTTGGCAGTGGCTGTCGGTCGAAGGGTTCAGGAAGGGCAGCTCCTCGCCGCAGCCCTCCAGCTTCAGGACCCGACTGCTCAGGTCCAGGCAGCACTGTGAGAGGAAGCACACAGTGGAACATGATTAGTGGGGGTCGTGACTCAGGGAGATAATCCTCCCAAAAGGGTTCGCACAACAAATCTGAGGGGTCAGCAGATAATAGCAAGATAAAATACAATGAACATGGATTCTGCAATGCAAAACAGTCCTTCTTTATTCAGGCTTCTCCGTAATTAATGATATTTTCTTGTGAAATACGAGATATTTTTACCCCCTGGGGACTCCTAAATTACAAAAAAATTAACATTCTGGGAGGGAAAACTAAACTGGTTGATAGTGAAAGTAATTTTGCCTTGTTTTAAGGAACTGTGAGCAAAAAAAAAAGTGAGAACCACTGCACTACATTGCTCAAATTAGCTTTGTCCTTTAGTTTAACTGTAATTCTAATGTCTGTCTCCAATAGATAGAAAATGATTCATCAGTAGACAGAAGTTTAATAAACAAAACACCAAATATTCTTTCATTTTCAGCTTTTCAAATGTGATTATTTGCTGCTTTTCTCAGTTTTATATTGTCAGTAATTGAATATCTTTGGATTTGGGACTGTTGAACAAACAAAAAAGCAATTTGAAGACAACACATCAGATTCATGCATTATCCTTGTGTTGCTGATGTTCTTAAATCAGTCTGCATCCAATTTAACTGAGATACATGCTGTACATTATCCATATCACCATGAAAAACCCAGTCCCTCTATAGTTCATCGAATTAGTTGCATACACTTATACATGATTGTTCTGTTAATACCATACTGTCTTGGTTATTGGTTCAACATTCCAGCTACAGTTCCTCTGACATTTAAGAGTATCTCTTGTTCATCTGGACAGACGAATATCTAATATTTTCCTGACGAAGCTTCAGAAGATAATGACTGTAACATAGTCACCAATTATATAAAATTACATAAAGACACTGTTTGCCCCAGTATCAAAAACAAAATATTTCTCCTCTTACCTGTAGTGCTGTTTATCAGTCTAAATTGTTTTGGTGTGAGTTGCAGAGTGTTGGAGATATCAGCCGTAGAGATGTCTGCCTTCTCTCCTTTATAATGGAACTAGATGGCACTCAGCTTGTGGTGCTCAAAGTGCCTAAAGAATACATTTGAAAAACTCAACATCAATGTCTCTTTCCAGAAATCATGACCCAGAAGGAAGCGTGCATCTACTCATGGACGTGCTTACCTCACACCCCTAAGCTAGCTAACGTTTCAACTTAGCCGAGAAGGTCACGATTAATGTTTACAAGCCTCTTGTCCATGAGTAGATGCACGCTTCCTTCTGCGCAGTGATGCAGTTGGCAGGTGTAGTTCAGTAGAAAGAAAATAGTTCCTACATGAAACTGCTCACAACAAGGTCTGTGGATCATCTTGAGTAACCAGGTCATGATTTCTGGAAAGAGACATTGATGTTGAGTTCTTCAAATGTATTTTTGAAAGGCAGACATTTCTATGGCCGATATCTCCAACACATCTCCAAAACAACCCGGGCTCACTCCGATGTCATCTAAATCTGATGCTTGGCCAGTGACGTGCGGTGTCAGACACCGATGAAGAAAGCCGTACTTTAATGCCTGCGTTATACACAGCTGTCAGGGGGAAACACGGTGGGACAAGGATGAATGTTAAGGCGTCAAAAGCCGGAGAGGGATGCCAGAGGAGTGGGGAATGGGTCCAACAAACACCAACGTTCGCCCAGGAGAGCGGTGTTTGCATCCCGTAAGATAAGGTTTTTGTTGCTTAAACCCAACTACCTATCCTAGTTGTTGGAGGGAAAAAATGCATGTAACAGGCAGAAACTGACACGGTGTTCCAGAACGTCAACAACCAACACACCCAGGGTACCTTGCACGACGTATCTGGACGTGGAAATTCCATGACCAAACATCGATATGTGACAAGGTCAAAATGAGAATGTGTTGAGGAAAAATATGTATTTTTTATGTTGGGGTGAACTGTCCCTTTAAAACCACTACATATAGATTTATGTGTGTAAAATTTTGTATTTTAGCACCCCCTAGTGGTAGGATATAAACACTGCTGCAGTGACGTATTGATCGCACTGGGATGAGTGGCTTGAAAACATGTAGCCTGCACTGGTTTTCACTGGGAGTGTTTAAAGTTTTTTGGGCTGATGAGATCAGTGTCATTTTTAGTTATTTTGATGACTCTTAACCCTTTGAAACCTGAGGAAACTGACTTGATTTCTTTCAAAATCATGGGTGGAAGGCAATGAGCAACAAAAGACAAAGTGACCCAAAAAACTGGCGAAAGATTGGTAAACAAAAAAAAAAAAAAAAAAAAAAAAAATTGGCAAAAAAAGAAAGTTAAAAACAAATAAACAAGACGACCTGGAAAGTGTGCTTAAAAATTACAATAATTCTGTAACATAATTTTAAAATGAAATAATTATAATAATAATTATAATAATTATTATTATAAATATTTTTTGTTATGTTTTTCCCTATTTTTTTTAAATAATTTTCTAAACCCCTTTTTTTTTTTTGCAATTTGTGGGAGATTTCTTACCAAGTTGCTTTTTCCCCATGTTGCTGAAAGAAATTTCACCAATTTGCTCAGCGTTCAAGGGTTTAAGTATTTGTGATAGGTGTCACATAGAAAGCAGCACAAGAAAAGGGATGCTGCTCCAGGTTTCAAAGGGTTAAATAAATATTAAGTCAACACAGGCAGAAAATAGTGAAACACGCCCCTCACATCCTAAATCCAAAGGTAATGTCTTTGATTAAAATGGACCAACAATCCAAAACCCCAAAATATTCAGTTCAATAACCGATCAAATAAAACAAAAAGCAGCAAATCTTCACATTTGAAATGCTGAAACAAGGGAATGGTTGGTGTTTTTGCTTAAAAAACGAAGTAAAGCTGATTGTTGGTGCTTAAAATATTCTAATAAGAAAAAAGCATATCATCAGAAGCTGCTATAATCACTTAAACATAGCACTCGTAGAAGTGTTTAACATCAGGACGATGTTTATCTCTGAGTCAGTAGCAAACGGGTGAGTTGCTTTTGTCGCTCAAAAATCTCAGTAAACCCTGATCGTTTATAAGCCAGTAATCATAATAAATTACCTTATTGTTTATGAATATTTGCAGAGACAGTTCAGTGCAGGAGTGAGCTTCAGGGGCAATGTTCGTCTTGCATTACAAAGTCCTTAAAGGCTAATTTACAAAATGAAGAAAAAAAGAGCTCATGTTCCCTGAATGCCCCGAAGTCCCACTCTAATTAGATTTTTAGGAGGATATTAACCAGATGCAGCAGATGTAACAGTGATATAACTGAGAACCACCTTCAGATTCCCAGTGAGTATTTTTTATTAGGTTTAAATTGCATTTTCAAATGTGCAAACTCAAAAATTCCACCTCACAAGATGTCCTCAATTCGCTCTTATCTGGGTTTAACCTGCACAGTGGGGATCCTGCAGATAGAAATAACACCAGCCTTTTCCCCACAGATAACACCACAGACAGTACATCTCTTTTTAAGAACTTCTACCTCCATCTTTCCCCCTGAAATTGTATATTTTTTCAATCACAGTAGCATTTTTATTTCTTCTTCTCCTTCCCTTTTGCTTATTTTTAAAAGCGATGTGACCATTTCAGCTGCTTCTTTAAAAAAACAAAAAAAACACCAAAAGCCACATGATAAGGCAGAGAAAATATTAGCAAAGCAAATGAGGACCTTACGTTAAGTTCCAACAGAGTCTGAAGACCCAGGCACAGCTCAAACGCCTCATCCTCTGAAAGTGAAAAAGGAAAGATAAGGGGGAGAGAGTGAATTTATGATTCCCATCCACGAACATCCTCATCTGAAAACGCATACATTAACCTGAATCCAGGTTAAATCGTCAACACAACTAAATTATTCATTCTTGTGTTAATGAGTGCTGATCAGCGTATGGACTCATGAGGATGGGTTTATGTTCTGGGGCTGCAAAGAGAGAGTTATGGAGCTGGGTGAGAATTTAATATCCGTGAAAGAGGCAGGCAAGTGTTTTAAGGATCGAGACAGTAGGGGAGACCAGGGACGATTGAAACACTTTCAGTACCCACAATTATCTGGATATGTGTGTTATAGCCCTCGGATTTTGAAACCAAATTCTTTACAACCTTTTTATTTTTATTTCTATTTTTACACAAGAATGACAAAGACGAGCAGTGTGGAGAGGGACAGGAAATCCATTGGGCTTATTTGGAGCCTCCATCAAAATGATGCAAAAAATTAGGCTGTACAGAACATACATACATTTATATAATTAGATTGCACATTTATAGTTTGTGATATTTGGGAATGTGTGTGAGTACAGAGGTCAAGCAAGCTATTTATGTAATTAGTTAATGAACAATCAGAATTATGATTTAGTTTTTTGTTCTGTTTGCACTGACTTTGTTCTTGGCTCTTCTCTTTGTTACCTCCGCCAAGGAGGTTATGTTTTCGCCGGCGTTGGTCTGTTTGTTTGTTTGTCTGTTTGTTTGTCTGCAAAATAACTCAAAAAGTTATGAACAGATTTTAAGGAAAGGTGGATAATGGGAGAAGGAACAGATGATAAAAATTTTGGTGGTGATCGGTTGAAGCAAAGTGGATAAAATAATAAAGTCTATGGTCTGACAGCCTCAGCAGCAATTCCAATTTCTAAAGATGGTGAAAATAGCGCCATCTGGTGGCCGGACAGCACAACTTGTTCTACTTGCTAAATATTGTTGTAATTCTAAAGTTGAAATTAATGTTCTGTATTGGAAAAAAAGAAAGTGAAAAATACAAAAAAAACATATTATATTCTGTGTTGGTACAAAATAAAAACGAAATAAATACACCACAGTGTCTCCATGGTGAAGGCATATATAACCTAATAATGATAGTGATGCAAATAACCTAACTGTGATGCAGGCTGCAAAATCTGATGCAGAGGGGGAGGGAATATCACCTACTTGGCGGAGGTCTGCACTCTCTGAGTGCTTTTCTAGTTTTAGATCAGCTCATTTTAGGCTTTTTAAATTGTTCTCTCTTTTAAATGTGTTACAAATCCTTAAATTAAATATTTTGCAATCTGTTCAAATGTAATCAATTGTTATATTAGTGTTCATTATTATTATTTGGCACACTATTTTCCCAGGTCAAGAAAGTTCATGAGCTCCCCTGTTCACCTAAACTAACCTTACCAGGTGACACATGCATCTGACTATTTCAATTTGGTTATTTATGTTTTTCCTTGCCTGCATCAAGGTGGACTATTATTGAGCTCTGTCTTTTAACATTTCCTCATATACGGCATCAGAAAAAGGAGCTACATGGGAAATATTTCACAGTCTGTTGTGGGTTCGGTATGTTTCAGATGCGCACGTTCACATTCACATCTTTAGCCTATATACATTCAGATGTTGTATAATGAGTTACACAATTATAAAAGACACAGTAAGTTTTCCTCAGGCTACAACAATTAGAATCTGTGACTGTTGCATCTCAAATTGTCCCACTATTCACATGTCTTGCATCAATATATTTTGTGTCAGATGACAAGTAGAAGAGAGACTGGAGGAGATGGAGGAGGAGAGGCAGGGAGAGAGACAGAAGGAAATGGAAGAGAGACAGGAGGAGATAGAGGAGAGACAGGAGCCTCACAGGTGAGATTGAATCATGAAGGATATATGTTGATAGTGAGATTCAGCATTGTGACTAGGGGTAAGTAAAAATATTCTGAAGATCCTGAAGTTGTTTTCTGCCTTTTTGATTGTTGCCTAGCTAAAGCTTATTAGGTCTATATATAAACGACTCAATAAGACTGACAGCTGATTTGCCCAAATATTTCTGCCATCAACTCTTTGCAGGTATGTCAAATTTTGCCTGAGAAAAGGACTGCCTCCTTCCTACGTCTCTGACCGAAGCAACCATGACAATATGCTATCAAGTGGGTAGCACTGGGCCTGAAAAAGATTCTATTAAAACTTGATAATCATAGCTATTATAATTTACCCTGGGAAGCACATACGGACAGATGTGGTGAAGTTATCAGTGTATATTCATGTAACTGATAACAGAGAATACATTAACCAAGACATTCTTGTATTTAGTGTAGATATCTAAATATGCATTATAAAGCAGTGATCAGTTTCGCGTGATGTGAAATTGCATTAAAAAATCATCAACATACAGGTCGCCGCCATGGAGCACTTTTGTGTCCCTACCAACGTGAAAATCAAACCTACGCCCTTGGTTTTAACTATTCATTTACTATTCATTTACTATTCATTTTTGTTATCATACAGGACATTGATCAGAGAACTTGGTCTGGAGGGAAAATCACCCCACAGCAGGTTTCCAAAAAGTGGGAAAATTTAAAGAAAAAATATAAGGTAATCAGAGAAATTTGTTTCTAACTTACAGAGTTGCATGACAGTTCATGTGTTCATGTATTCTTTAACTTATTTTCCATCACAATTACTCAAGGTCTACTGTAAAAAATAAAAAGCCTTAAAGCATCATTTGTAATTCTTTTCATTATTTGTAATATTGAGTTATTACTATGTGTGTATGTGTGTGTTTATTGCAGGAGCTAAAAAAAACCCAAAACAGGATCAGGAACTGATGGCGGTGAAGTCACAGCTGCTACCTGGCAGTTCTTTGGGGACATGCATGAGGTGTTGGGGGCCAGGCCTTCAATGGACCCTCCTGTTGTGGTCGCATCTTTTGGTCCTGATGCTGATCCCACAACAATTGTTTTGGTAAGGTTTTAAGATTAGCTACAATCACATTTACATAAATACATACATTCACATTTAAATAAATAAAAGGAATATATTATGAACATAGCTATTATATGCAAGAAATATAATATAACTGTAAAAATTGTTAAGCTCAATAAGTTATCATAACTTGTTTCTATCATTTACTTCTAATTAACATAATGAGTTATGAAATTTCAACTTAATGAGTTATTGATATCCCAACTCAAGGCTTTAAGCCAGTTCAGTGAAATGGAAATTTCAATGTGTCAACACAACAGACTGAGACTTAGGAGTTTTCAGTGTTAACCGGATCTCTCAGAAACTGATCATGACCGTGGTGTGACAGCAATATTAATGCGCCGTAAAAATAGTGCTTGTTGAAATTTCGTCTTGATCTGATAAGGGACTAATAATTATGATATAATATTTTTAAAAACTTGAGCAGGGGCTCCACCCGGTTGCAGCTGTCTATTAACAGAAGAAGAGGTATACTAACTGAACTTGAGAACGGTGAAAGGAGAAATGGCGGATGACTACTGTTTGTTAGCAAAGTCAGGATCAGGCCTGGTGGCAGTACAGTAACAGCGCGTCATTTGGATGAGGGGCAGCCAAGGAGCAGGCGGGAAGCAGGCGAGGAACAATGAAATAAGACAAGTGGTTACATTTATCACATTATTAATCTAACCCAATTCGTAAATTGGTTCAGAAGAAATTAATTTATGTCTGTAACATTTCTAAACACAGGATAGTCGAGCCTAACATTAGTTACAGTCCTTAGGTCTTAACTTACGTTACTTTTTAAACTTTCAGTAAAAAGAAATGCAAGAAATTATTAAGAGTTTATAACATTCACCCCCTCAGAAGCACATTCATGGCGCTTGGTGAACAATTTGCATGGTACTGGTGTAACATTACCGGTTTGTAACGAGTTAGCGGCCTCACACGAGGCTCTGTGTCAGTAATTAGTTGCGGCCCGTGTCGCGTGTGTGCGCGCGCGGCATCCGTTAGTTAGCAATTAGCTGTAGCTTATGCTGTGTTGTTTGTGACGTTACTTGAGTTAGCGGCTTCACACGAGGCTCTATTTCAGTGATTAGTCGTGGCCTGTGTGTGTGTGTGTGTGTGTGTTAGTGCGCGCGCGGCGTCCGTTTAGTTAGCAAATAGCGTAGCGCATGCTGTGTGGTTAGCAGTTGAGTTAGCAGCTGAGCACGAGGCTCTGTGTCAGTAATTAGTCATGGCCCGTGCACGGCGTCCGTTTTGTTAATTAGTAATTAGCCGTAGCATATGCTGTGTTGCTTGTAACGAGTAACGGCTTCACAATAGCCTCTGCAGAAGTCTTCAATAACATCAGAAAAAGTCGCTAGATTTGTCGCTAGTCGCTTTTTTGAAAAAGAGTTGCTAGAGGGGTCTGAAAAGTTGCTAAATATAGCGACAAAGTCGCTAAGTTGGCAACACTGCTTAAAGGCGCTGTATGTAAGAATGTGGCCAAAACAGTTACTGCACTCAAATTCAAAATACTGCCGCGAGTCGTGTCCGCCCCCCCTCCCCTACAGATTCGAGGTTGTTGGACAATGGCAAGCTGGAGACAGATTTGTCTGCCCAAGGGCGGCTGCCGTGGCAGGGCCGCGTTGCCACATCCTTGATCTTTGGTTTTCCAGCGGACCGTTCAAGCAAGTCCGCTGGAAAACTGCTGCTAACGCTGCTGCCAGGATACAGCTGAGGAGACTGCTAATGCTATGTACTGGGACACTGCTAATGCTGCTTGCCGTGCTGCTGTAGCTCAGTCGTAACTGTAACTGATGCTGAGACTCTACTGACTGCGTGACTGGTAGACGGCGGTGGGTGGCGCAACAGGCCAAAACACAAATTGTGTTGCGGATTGTAAAAAAAATTTTTAAATGCGAATATTCTGGCTGTACTATTGTTGTCGGTGAGATCAGTATGTTATATGAACGTTATTCCTTAGTCTCTGTGACATATTAGGAGGATTTTACGACTATTTGCTTTAGATTTCTTACAT